CATGAGGAATTAAACAAATATTTCCCTTAAAATACCTCCTGATGGACATACTGATCTTAATAGCTACATGTTGGAAAACAGCATTCATTCTTCTGAAAGCAGTGTCTTATGACAACACCAGACCTTACTTCAGTCTCATATAAATATATCAGAATGCACTTCAGCTGTTAATTATTTGTCAGAAATTCACAGTAATTGTTCTCCTTCCCTTCTCCAGTACGCACCAAGTCAAGTCAGTTCACATTTTCTTTTGTTAATCTTCTAGCTGATTCCTCCACCACCACCTATGGGTCCTGATTCCCCTGAAGATGATGAAGCTTTGGGAAGCATGTTAATAGCTTGGTATATGAGTGGTTATCACACCGGCTACTATCTGGTATGTAACATGCCTTGTGTTGGAGATGTTTCATATATCGTCTAGCTTTGTTCTGCTTATCTTGCTAAAGAAAAGTGGAGAGAGGAGGGTCCTTTTGGAACTTTTACTCTAATGTTTGACAACCTGCTTTTAGAGGTATTTTGTAGTGCTTTAGTGTTTGTCTTCTTAGTAGCAGAATAAATCGGTCCACTCAGCTCTGCCTGTGTGGATGGAGTAAGCCCGGGCTTGTTCAACATTTGATTTTCTAACACAGTCTTCCTATTCCCCGGCACTGGGGGGGTATAAATATTGGAGAACAGATTTGGGTCTTATTTAGACTGTAAAATTGCTGAGTCTAGCAGTACTGCTCTCAAACACTCCAAGAGTACATTACTACCAGGACTGGATGCAAAGCAGGCATATCTGCCTGGTACCAAGGCAGAAGCTACACTGGGCAGCATATTTTGAAGATAGTGCTGCTTGGCACAGTAAGTTTAAGGTCTGGAAATAGCCTTAATCTACCTACATTCACTGATCTAGATCTTTTCTGATATGTGGCAGTTGTAATGTATTGAGAGCCCATGCCAGTGGTCGATGAAGGCATACAGAGTACCCTTCTTGCACTAGAAGAAAAAAGTAAGGACTTGACCCTTCAAATATGCTAATACATGACCGTTTTATTCAGTAATCTGTTACAATATTCAGAGGTGGACTGAATCTGGGCTTCAGATGTTTCCTTAATTCACCATCAATACCAGAAGTATTAAACATATATTGAAGTATGGAGTTAGTTTGGGGCTGCATCCTGAATTCTCTTTTTATAACAGAATCTTGTTTATACTCAAAAGGTAAAAAAGCTGCTCTCTGTAGCTAAGATATTAGAAGATTTGGCCCAAACTTTTTGCACCAATGAATACAGCTTCAGTATTTATTAGAACATGAGCTTTTAACAAACTCTTCTTATCTTGTGTCCCTAGGGTTTAAAACAGAGCCGAATGGAAGCTGCCTTGGATAGACACCCAGACCCTAAATAATTGAATGTCTATTGCTATTTTGACAGATTGTGAGTATGACAAATTTGTGCTAAAATCGAATCTTGCAGCTCATGAGCATAACAGTCACCAAACTAAGCCACCACCTTTGGAATTACAGATTGCATTCGGGCACCTAATGGTTGGGTTCTACGGCCTCTAAGCCTATTTCTGTCTGATTTTGTCACCATGTAGGCCAGTGCTTGTCATTAGTTTGCTTGGTGCCAGTGAAAGTGCTTTGCTGCACAGGCCAGAAACAAAGGATTAGTGGCTGCTGTCACTAAAAGTAACTTCTGTCACTCTGGGAAATCAGAGTTCAGTATAGTACTGTGAGATCAAGAAGGACAACTGTTTTTGGAAACAAAGGGCATGTTGATCGAAATGTGTTTAAAAAACAAGCTTTTACACTCATGTAAACAAGCAATTTTTTCTCTATGTATGTAGAATAGGAACATGAATGTATAATATTTGGTTTACAAGACAGTATTAACCACTAGCTTCTAAACCTTTAGTTTTCTGTTTGGTTGGTTTCTTTCTTTCCTACTTGTGTTTTGGTCTGAAATGATTTCACTATGATGCAAAAATATTTTTCTGCCTGCATCTTAACACTTATTTTAATATCTGTATTTGTTAAACTTTGGATGTCACACATCTAATTCTTTAAGTTTAATCTTAAAACAACTTTAGTGTATGCACTTATGCCTTTAGAATCTAATTCTTGTTTTTCTCTTGAAGGCAGGTACAGTTCTCTCCCACGGAGAGGGGTAAATCGTGTGTGAGGATGGCTGATAATGAAGATCAAAGTGGAGCTAATAACTTACCTTTTGCTAATAGTGAGCTGTCTCTGACTATTACTCTGAGAGATCAAACTGGGTGTTAAAAGTAGTCATTCATTAATTGTTAAAGGCAGCCAACAAGATAGGGAGAAAATGCTGCTTGCTCCATTTAGGCAGTTGAAGGCTAGTGGTCTGGATATTAAATATTCTGCAGATCACTTATAATACATTAGATCAACATAGGTAGTTCCATTTTGTCTGTCTTGTATCTTAAATTTTTAAATACTTAATTTGTTATTATCTTAAGTACTGAACAGAAGTGAGAGGTACAGTAATGTTACTGGGATGGATGTATGACATTGACTGCTTGTGGCAGTTAGTGACAGGTCAAGAATGGTATACAGACACATTCATAACCTGTTATGGGTAGGATTAGAACTTTGAACATAAGGCAGATAAGCAAAGGAAGGCTCACTCATGTGCTGTGTCTTGTTTCAAATGTTTCTGAATAAAGTCATACTTTTCAAATTTGGGATTTGTTTTTTAAATTTTCATAAATAAGATTATATTGCATAAATAGCTAGGGACTGAACTTGTTCTTCCCTGTGTTTTGGAGCATGTATACATTTTAAAGATGCACTACAATCTTACAGTAATTATATTACACTCTGTGGCAGGGGCAAGGGAAACACCAAGCCACAGGGATCCTGTGACAATGGCAAAAACCCCATGCCACTGAAAATACCAGCAGCCCCACTGGATGCTGAGCTGCAGGGACATGGTGGCAGCAGCCAAATCGCTGCACCGCTGGCAGTACCAGTGCCCACAGCTGCCAGGGACCCAGGAATGGGACAGCAGCAATAGGTGCGCCACACAGCGAAACTTACCTGTAGCCCAATGGCGTCCTGTGCCACAGCCAGCTGGGGTCCAGGGGCAGGCCAAAGAAGAAAAGCCAGCACTGGTGTGGACACATTTTGTAAGTGCGTGCTGGTGCTGATTCGGTGCCTGGGGCAGCAACACACAGATAAAAGCCCTGTGCTCTGGTCCAACACCAGGACCAGAAGGTAGTCCCCAGCAGCCTAGGGCAGGCTGTGGGGTGAACGTGGAAAAGGCAGAGGACGATTGGTGGGGGCAGCCCCCATGTGGGGAGCTACTTCTACCTGCTGACTCAAAGGAGTTCCCCTAGACATCAAGAGGGGTGACATGAGAGCCCTCCTGGGGAGAAGGTCAAGAAGAAAAATAAGACCGAGGAGAAAGAGCGAGGACAGCGACCAACATCAACGCCAGGTCTGAGCAACATCGATGCAACAACAGGTTGGTGCTAGGTGGGGTGTAGGGGAGGAGGAGCCCCCAAATCCTAACTCTACCAAGAGACGGTAGCTGGACACCACTGAACTGGGTGTAACATGAGTCCCCAAGAGAGGTTTCCATCAAAGATGTGGCAGTCGAAAAGCTTCAGTGGGTCAGGTAACTGGTGCCGGGACAAATTGTTGGCCCACAAGCCTGCAGTTGACCTAGGGCAACCAAAAAAGCCTAAGCGGGGAGCACTGGACAGGCATGGGCGGTTACATGCACCCTTTAGACACCTTAAACGGATCCAATTAAAATCGTTGGGTTTGGCTTTTTGTAGTTGTATTGTTATTTGCTCAGAAAAATAATCCAAGTTTCCCAAATTGAAGTAAGTGATAATACTGAAATCACTCTGATTCTTTCAGAAATATCTACATCAGCCTTATTTTTGGTGAATATTTTCCATTCTTGTGTCAAAATAGCAGCATCCTTAGGAGCTTTTGCAGCCACCATGCCAAAGGATGCAAGAGGCAGGGTGGCCTTAATCTAATCACCAATAATACCATTATAAGGCAGGACTGACTGAATTGGCAGTAATGGAAGATTGGCTCTGGCTCAGTAGACAATACACAGAAGAACTGGTTACTCTGACATAAGCAGTGGTTCAAGAGATTAAACACAGATTACACTCTCGGTGACTATCAGGCAGTATCACCTTTGGAGAGGTTTAAAACAAATCCTGCTTTAAATAACTACTGAAAGAATGACCTTGTGAAGCTTGTATCGGACTGTGGCCTGCAGAACAGTAGCCACAAGGTAAATGTAGTTAGAACTTCATATTGCCCTTGCAGGTAGCTCTGTTATTCAAAGAGGGGATGGTGCTTAGCTGTGAGTGGAAGAGGAACTGATTTTCATGATGTGAAGGACAAGGGTCTTCTGTTTTATTTTTCATCCTCAGTTTATAGTTCACAGCTCACTTAATTTGTCTCACAACATCTCATCAAGGCCCTTAGGCAATCCTACAGCAGCTAAGCTTGCAGTCTGATATTTGTTTATATATCCTCAGGGATACAGAATACTGTCACACTTATATCTGTGGCTTTAAAATACCTTGTCCTGCCCAATTAAAAGGAATGCGATTGTATTGCTGTAGAGAAGAATAAGGTTTGTGGGAATAGATGAGTAGCTAAAGTAACTGAAATGGTCTGAGACTAAGACAGGAAGGCTTGCTTTAGAGCCCAGACTCCACAAAGTTCTTGCTCCCCTGCCAGCCCTTGGTAATGTGCTAAATCTATTTTGCTTGAGGAATAATTTTGGTGTAGAGGCAATAACCCCTTAAGACATGCAATTGTTACAGGGTTCTCTCTTAGCCTTAGGCCATAAGAAGCTGGTGATAGCTGAGGCTGTTTTATTCTTTAAATCCTTAATACATAGCAGTTGAGGGCTGTAAGGAAGCAATCATGGTCCTGAGCATCTTCAAAGGAATCCACTCAAACAGATGGGGAACATCTGCACTGAGAACAAAATAAGAGATTCACTCAATTCCAGAAAGTCCTTTTATTTTCATTAAATAACTTAAGCCTACAGAGTATGGCAATATCAGTCATAACTTCAAGGCCAATAATATTTCCTCATTGGTTTTACACATGGTTATAGTGAACCTTTCTCTTAACACGGAATATAACTATTAATTGAACATTTAAATAGAAGTTTGACCACCATAACTTAGTTCACAGCTGATACTTAATTTAAGATTCTATATAATACATGGATCATTCGTCTTCTGAGACAGCATTTAGGGTTGATGAAAATTGGGGACATTACTTTCTACATCTGTCCTGTGTGATGACTTCATAGATGCTTACATTAAAAAAAACCATACTGAGACTAAAATAATAAGAGGCTGGAATGTTTCCCAGTTAATAAAAAGCGGACAGAATTGTGGAGGAAATGGTTAAAATAGTAGTTTCAAAATGCTTGAGGTCCTGCAGTCCCACATGGTGGTGGATGTTCAACTGCTGGGAGATGGGACAAAGTTCAATTTGTTTTTACTCAGGAACACTAAGTTGTCCCACAGACGTTGATCTGAGACATAAGGGCTTTTTATTTTAATTTTCATGGTTATGAAAATTCATAACGAGTTCATAACTCTATCCATTTCACAGCATCGCATCTCATCTCATTAGGCAAATCATATGTGAAATAATTTATAGAAAGTGTAAGTGGATCAGATCAAAAGACTAGCTAGCATCAGTCTGAAAAACCCATAGTAGCCCAGCAGTTTGGAAAAAGACTCCATGTTGCACACTAAGTACATACTAAAAGTGACCCATAAAAGCTTTTTTAAGAAAATGTTGAAATGTTATACAATCTAGTAAAGAGAGGAACAAAGTCTTGTACATGGCAACTGCATTGGTATGTAAGCAAGTGTGGGATATTAACACAAGCTTAGGCATTTTGTTGAGTGTTTGGTCTCTGTTAAAAGGTACAGTGACCAGTGTTCCCTCTAAGCTGCGCGCATGTGCAGCTGCACACAGTAAAAAATCATGCTGGGCAACAACAGGGGACCTGCACATACCTACCTGCCAGCCGCAGCAGGGGGTGGGGAGAACACACACACACCAATTGCAAGGTGGACTGAAGCAGCACATGCCGAAAGGTGGAGGCAGACCAATTTGGGAATGGACTGATTTGGTGAGCTCACAAACTGCTACACCTTAGAGGGAACACTGGCAGTGACCACGCATGAGTACAATACTGTGAGGTAGTAAGGATTTCTAAGGGTGATACCTTCTATTGAAAGAAATGTAGTTGGGATAAAGTTAGACAAACTTGAATGCAAAACTTTCCTTGTCAGTGAGATCTGACAAAGAATATCTTGCACTCAGAAGCTTTTCTAACTTTATTCCAATTGCATAGTTGGTCCAGTAAGTCAGTAAAGCCTTGCCTCACATAATTTCTGGATCATCACGACTAGAACATCACTATTAAGCACTCTTAGTTATTGTATTAGCATACATCTATTTTTGCCCAAGGTGAAGTATTGTCAAGTGAAACTGGTTGAAAGGTCACAGTGGGTCTGGAAATTGCCTACTTAAGAAAGGAAAAAAAATACTTAAAAGCCCATTTAAAATAAAAATAAAGTTCATATGAGGTCTCTATATACAGTATTTCTCTCAACAGTTTAAATTAAAACATGAACTAAGTGGCAGTATTAGCCAGGAACAAGTAGTTGGACATCATCCTGAATTTGGGGTCACTATGTAGTAGTCCCCCAGAATAGGAAAAGTTACAGTCTAGGATACCTGCACACCTCTTACAACATCTTCAAGGAAAGAAACTCCCCCTTGCTTAAGTGTTCTTGCAGGCCTTAATAAATCCCATCTACTAATCTTCATTAAGTTTCATTTTTTCAGTGAGCCCACTAAGTGTTTTTTTTAAATTACTACCTTTAATTCAGAGTCATTCTAGTTGGCATGTCATCCATTTACAAAAAATACTTCCTTGCATGGCAATAAAAATGTTCAGAGTTAACATCCGATAGGCATGCATATCATGAAAATGTACTATTTATGACAAGCTTATGCTTAATACACTTGTCAGTCAGACATCTAAGTACTTTGCAAGGCTTATATTAATCCCTCCAGTCTGTGAAAAGGGTTTCCTATTAATTAATATAAGCAGATATGAAGCTTAAAATTCCAGGGTTTAATATGCAAAGATGCTGTGCTATGTGCCTCTTTCTAAAGAAATTGAAAAAAAACCCCAATATACAGAAAAAATTGTTTCATTCTTGTAAAATTGGTGAGAAGGGCAACATCCATTGCCAGCTTAATTTTAAACGCTTGGATTGGGGGTGTTGTTCTTTCATAGTCTCAAACATTTTCAGGTCTTCTGCATCAAGCAGCCAGCCATAAAACTGAATGTACACAAGACGGGGAAGCCTAGACACACACTGAACAAACGACTTCACTGTTGTTGCTTGCAATTTGATTTGCTGTGTGTACGTGCGACTGATGTTTAATTCCTTTAAACTGGGCATATGGAACAGCACTTGGAAGAAGTTTGTCCAACCAGCTTCTGTTACATTGTGGTTTGAACTCAGTGAAAGATTTTCAAGCTTTTGGAAGCCTCCATTGCATGCTACCTTGGCTACAAAAAAAAAAAAAAAAAAAAAAATCAATGTGTAATAAACATCTTGGGCAAAAAATGATTTCTTTAAAACAAGTAAAAATATAAGAAAACAAAGATTCATTATGTTTTAACCTTACACACAACACTATGTATATGTATTATTTAGGGTGTGAAGCATGGTCCTACACTCACCCTGATGGCATTTAGCTGTTTGGATGCAAACATACCATGATTAATCAATCTTATTACTATCAGAGACAAAATATACCAAGAAAAATTTGCAATGTGTTAGCAGCTCATTACCCCATCACTGGAGCAGGGAATATGTTGCCTGTTGTCCTGCAGGATCATGGGTAGGACAACAGGCAATGTGCATTTCACCCAGTGAATCAGATCAGCTATGCCAGGATACATATCAGCATAGCTGCTTCACTTTATTTGATGGCATCTAGTTATAACCTCAAAGACTGAAGGGGAATGACTCCTTTTTATTCATATCACTGTAGCTTTCCAAGCATATTTCCATTAGTTTTTAGAGCGAGTGGTAAATTCAAAACAAGAAAGGACAATTTGGAAACAATTAGTATAAATGTGGTCATGAAAGGTTTGCTGTTCTTCGCAGTGAGTGAGAGAACGTGTGAAAGTCCTTTAGGCAGACAAGGTTCCTTGGGTGAATCTGATATCTTTTATTAGACCAACCCAAATAGTTGGAAAATAATTATTAAGCAAGCTTTCGGGTTCAAAAACCCTTCGTCAGGCTAAGGAAGTTTCAGCAGTTGGTGTGTGCTCTTCCTGGATGGAGTGAAAAGTAAAGAAGCCAGCGGCTGGGCTGGTATGCATACAAGACAGGAAGTCAGTGAAAATGTAGATTGAGGAGTCAATGGGTGAGAGACAGGCGGGGGAGGGGAGAGAAGGGAGATGAAAGGGGAGGGATACCTGGGGAGTCAGATGTCAAGCAGGTTATAATGTGTCATAAATCCAATGTCTATATTTAGTCCATGATTTTTAGTACCCGGGAGGTTGATGAAATGGAGCTCATAGGCTCATCTCTGGGAAGTGTTTTGTAGGTTTCCTTTGAGGATCAGGACTGAGAGATTGGAGACAGTGGTTTTCTTGTGAGAAATGTGCCCCCACAGGTAATTTCGTATTTCTGTCTTTGATGGATTTCCAGTGTGCGTTCATTCTGGTGCGCAGTTGTTGTTTGGTCTCTCCTACGTATTTTCCATCAGGGCATTTGGTGCATTGGATGAGATATATTACATTTCTGGAGGTGCAGCTGTAAGATGCAGGGATGCTGATGGCTCTGTTGTGGGGGCAGTAATACTGGGGGTGGTGGAGATGTGTTGGCAGGTTTTGCATTTCTTGTCATGGCACGGTCTGGATCCTTTTGCTGTGTTCTGGGCTTGAGGAAGTTTGCTTCTGGTGATGAGGTTGGCGAGGTTCGGTGCTTGTTTGAAGGCTAGGATGGGTGGCTCTGGGAAGATCTTTTTA